CTACGGATTGGATTTCAACTTCACGATGAAGGATATTCAACTCAAAGAAGGAGTGTCTGTCAATAAACATTATCATTTCAGAGTCAATTTTGACTTCACAACGAAGGATATTGGCCTCGAAACAACGCAACTTACATTGGATTTCAACTTCACGACGAAGGATATCCAATTCCGGGGCTCAACTTCATGATGAAGGGGCCATACAATTCCAACTTCACAAACAGATTGACCCAACTTCACAACGAATGTGTCATCTGTAACACAACAACTCCAAAGTCTTCAGGCCAAGTTTTACCTTCACGACAAAGTATCAGGAGCCAGAAGATGATTTAGAGGCCACTCACTAAGAGCTTTGAGTTCGATTTCAACTTCACAACGAGGGATATCATGCTCAGAAATTTCCAGTTCAACTCAACCTCACGACAAGGGAGTCATTTTGTGATTCAATTCGAATTAACAGATCAACCATTACATTTGACGAAATTTGTGTCTTTAATCTTTGCTCAATTTTCGTTACACGATAATGAGCAAAGAGGGGCAGTTGAAGACATCAAATTTCGACTATGGATATTATTTTATATAATATATTTCTTATTATTATATAAAATACATATTCATTCATTTATTTATCTATAATACAGGCCCAATGAACAAGTTACAAAATGACATGACCCAGCAGTGGCCCAAATGTAACCCAACTGGATTAGGGCTTGTATGAAACCCTAGCTATCTTTTCTCTCATCTTCTACCCCCAGCCGCCAAGCGCCTCGACCGTTGGATCAGGATGTGATCCAACGGTCCACAACAAACCCCACCTTAGGGTTTCAACATTTACTCCACAGTGCCGTTCTCTCCTTCAACGAGAGATCACACAGCCACACGCCTCTCAACATCACCGAATTTCTCGACCATCACCAACGACGTGCATATGTGAAACACAACAACCAACAAAATAAGAGTCACAATCTGCTTAGGACTCAAGATTTTCGGAACTAAAAATAGCATTTTTTAGAGTATAAATAAGCATGTAATTCATTCGTTTGTAACACACGATTTCGGAGGAAATACAAATAAACTTTTGCGATTATTCTACACAAATCTTCAAGCAGTGCATTCGACAATCACAAAATTTCCACAAATAAGTTGTAATATTCGAAGCATTTTTGCGATTATTAAAGAAGAAGCACAAGGGTAAAAATCTCACCTTTTTCGTTTCAGTTTCAAGGCTTGCATGCGTTTTCTTTTCCGTTCTCTGTGTTTGAGTTTCCGAAAAAATCCCAAACAAGTTCTTTTAGCCGATGAACGAAGCGAGGCCTTCATTATTCGAAAATCTTTTTTCCATAACTATGCCTTTCTAGAGCTGTTTTTCAAAAATGGTTTTGAGTTTTAAAAAGAGAATCCAAAGAGCTTTCAAAAAAAATAATTTTTTTAATATCGCCACCGATGAATGGTGGCCGGTGCCGTTCAACGGCGGCCAGTGAGGCAGCACGATGGTCGGATTTTGGAATCCACGGTCGTGTTCTTGATATCTCAAGAACACTTGAGAGAAAATAAAAGAGAGATGAGGGGATTTCGGGCGAGAAGAGAATAAATGATAATTTTAAAAAAATTGATTTAAATACTAGACCTGTGCGACCCGCGGCCCGATCCATTCCCCGCATGAAGATCCGCGTGTTTTTTAATGCAAATGGGGTAAACTGTGTTTTTTGTCCCTTTAAGTTACAATTTACTCATTTTTGCCCCAAAAACCCAGTTTTTGTTTCGAAATGCTTGTAATTTTGACACCCAATTTATCTTTCTTTCAATTTAATCCCCTCATAGGTTAGTTTTTTTTTTATTTCTTATTTTGTCTATTTAAATATTATATTTTTTTTATAATTTTTCATTAGTATTTATATATATATACATTTAATTATTTCTTTATTATTATTTTCCTTTTTTTAATTCCATTTACTATTATTTTTTAGTATTCTACTCTAACATATATTCCTTTTATCATTTTTATATGTATACATATATTTAATTATTTAATTATTTTTCTATTGTTTTTCATTTATTGCTATTACATTACACTATTTTTAATTTTATTTCTACTATATAGTTTTCCAAGTCCTTGTCATTACTATTATTTATATATATTTTATTATATTTATTTATTTATTTATTTATTTATATTATTATTTCTTTTTTTTTTCACGTTTTATGTATCTTGTTTTCCTTTTTCTTATTTTATTTATTTTTACTATTTTTTTAAACTAACCCTTGTCCTGGCTTTTTAAGGATATTCCAAAACAATCTGAGGTAAGTAATTAGGATCAAATTTTACCTTTAAATTTAAAATTATAATTTTCTTAATTAAAGACAACTGGAAATTATGTAGTACCGAAATGGCAGTTCAAGGGTGCTAACCCTTCTTTGGCTGTAACCGACTCCCGATTCTGACATATCACTAGTAAGATGCAGACCATGTAAGGAATAAGGTATCTGATCTACCTATTTGTTTTAAAATAAAAGATCGATGGTGACTCTAACCCATTTATTTAAGTCGAAGCCGAATTTCGAGCCCACCCGAAAGACGGTTCCGACACATATTTAAGACGACGGAACAAAAATATAAAATATATTTTATTTAGATCTTAAAAGCCTGAGTTAAATTGGCCACTCAATCCATTCCTCCATTATCATGAACTTCAACTTTAAAAAGGGGAATTTGTTGAGCTAAAGTTAGTTTAATAATTTCAAATAGCTTTGTCATCATTGGATGGTATGAACTTTCAAAATGGGGCACCAATTGATCATTAGAATGAAATTTGCCACAATCCAATCATATTGGGAAAAAAAAATCAAAGGACCCTTTTTTTGAGATTTTTAATAACCTAACTAGGAAACTTCATTTATTGACACTATCTAAATTTGGCAGCTTATCAGGTTTTACATATAGATATACTACACGATTTCAGAAATTTTTTTTTTTAATATAATTAAAGTGTATTTTTAAAATTCATTTTTGAATAAAATACAATTTTATCATTGATTTGATTTTATAATTTTAAATTTTAAAAGGATTAAACATGATAGTTCCTATACTGTAATAGCATTTATGTATAAACATAATAAATATTAGGGTAAATTATACGTTTAGTACCTAAATTATCAATTGTAGCCCATTTTAGTACATAAACTTTTAGTTTTATTTTTCAAAATCATATATAATGTTTAGTTTTTGTTTCATTTTAGAATCCCGACAATCAAAACCTAACATAATGGCTCGTCGACCTCTACTTCTACAATCGTTGGCCAATGAAGTTCAAACTTTCAGCCCGCACCTATTCAACCCCTGAACGTGATTCCGACCTCTGTTTCACTGGAAAATGCCTCAATCTCTCCAAATCGGTTATGGACTCTTCAACTTCTTCACCCTCTAATCTCTGTCGTCAACCGTCCAATGGGCCTGATAGGTTGACACTGGACTATATTAGTCGACTCGTCATTCTCTCGTGTTCCATCGTTTGGATCGATCATTCGTCCGCCAGAACTATGCCCTGTTAGTCAGTCCGTTAAAATTTTAATTATGAGATATTAAAATGAAACAAAACTAAACGTTAGATATGATTTAAAATAAAAATAAAAATTTAGGTACTAAAGCAAACTAAAACTGATAGTTTAAGTATTAAATACATAATTTACCCTAAATATTAATAATTAAAAGGAAAACTATACTTTTATATATGATTAAAAAATGGATTATGAAAATTAATAACAAGGATAATTGTTACCACAAACAGAAAACAACATAACTGCTTAATCATTAATATTTAATAACTTAACTTTATCACATTATGTGTATGACAAAGAATGTAACAACCGTGAAGGAGACAGTCACTTGTAATTTTTGGAGGTGCAATCCACGTCTGACTGAGTCGAATCGGAACACCAACGTCTACGTGTTTTCTGGTTTGCTGACTCAACCTCAATACATTTCATTAGCCAAAATTATCAGCTTTGTATACCAATTTTATATAATAAATCATTATTTATTACAATATTTATTTCATTAAAATTACATCTTACTTTCTAAAAGAACACTTTAGTAAATGTTTTTCAAAAATAACTTAAAATAGTTAACCGAATTAATTCTTGGATAAATTGTGTTTATTACTTAAACTATTAGTTTTGATCCATTTTAGTACTTAAAAGTTTCATTTTTTTTAAAATCACACCTAACGTTTAGTTTTTATTTTGTTTTATTACCTCGTCGTTAAAACTTATCGAGTGATTTGCACGTGCCAACTTTTTATGGTTAAATTACATCATTTATCAATCAATTATCTTCTCACTCCTATGGTCACTAAAGTTTATTTTTTTTAATTTAATTACTTAACTTTTAAATTATTCTTAATTTAATCACTCTAACTTTCAAATTTATTTTTTATTTTTAATTATATATTAATAAAATAATAATAATAAAATTTCATATCACAAAAATTATTAATAAAATAAATTATTTTTTTGAATACAATTAATAAAATAAATTATAGTGATTAAAATAGGTGCAACTTGAAAGTTGAGTAGTTAAATTAAAAAAATTAAACTTTAGTACCCAAATAGGAGTGAGAAGAAAGTTAGTAATGAATGATGTAATTTATCCATAAAAATACAGTATTTTTAAATTTTTAAGGGTGAGATATTAAAATGAAATAAAAAGTAAATATTAGACATGATTTTAAAAAATAAAAATTTAGCACTAAAACGAATCAATATTAATAGTTTAGGTATGTACCCTTAATTATTTTCGTAGGTGCGCGTTTCCCAATACTGTTTCCTTTGGAAATTCCAAGTGAACTCCCGGGGGACCCCACTTTGTGGACCCCTTTCGGTATTTAGTAAAAAATGACGCCATAAACCACTTTAAAACTAAAGCCAAAATAAAATCCCATTAATTTATTTTCCTTTATAAATACTTCCACAAGCCACAAGCAATCCCCAAAGCTCACCGAAAATCCAAAAAGCATTTCCTGTTTTCAAGCAAAACATGGCAGCAAGAGCACCGTATAATGCGACGGCAAGGACACATTCGGAAGTGGACAGCAGTCTTCACCCATCGCCGTGGAATTCGCCGGTACCGTACTTGATCGGCGGGTTGGCCGCCATGCTGGGTCTCATAGCGTTTGCTCTCCTCATCCTCGCATGTTCTTATTGGAAGCTGTCAGGTTATTTGGAGGAGGAGGGGTCATCGGAGCAAGCCGAGAGAGACTTGGAAGCTGGGGAAGGTAAAGGGGGAGACGATACTCGGCTTCGGCCTGTTATGGAACCCAAGGTTCTTGTTATAATGGCGGGACAAGTGAAGCCAACATTCTTGGCCACCCCCATTGGCTCTTCTACCCGGTCCTTCTCCTTTGGTGAAAACAGTGAAAAGACATGCCGCTGTAATGATAAGGGAGATGAACTGGTTGGCGACGCCGGTGGCGGCGGTAATCGTCATGAGAGTACGGTGGCGCAACGATCATCATCATGGCTGGACCTTTGATGATCGAGTTTTGTGGGTGTTGGGGTTGGGCTTTCCAAGGTGAGTTTTTTTTGTCCAAGGGTAATGGTGTGGGTGTTCTCTGTATATCAGCTTTTGAGCTTGCAAATGCATGCTCCATTGATGTTAGCTTTAGCTTTTTTTTCTTCTGTTATTATTTGCCTCTTTTCTCTTTCCCTTTTCTTATGGTTTCGGGAAATGTAAATTTTAATGAGATGGGATGCTGCGAAGGAATTCACTTTCCTATTTTTGTCCTAGTTTTTTCACATTAATTTATTAAATTTTAGGGTAAACTACTCCAATGGTCACTAATGTTTGGGTAAATATTCATTTTCATCATTGATGTTTCAAAAGTCACAAATCGGTCACTAACGTTATCGCTTGTTACAAATTGGTCACTCGTCGTTAACAAGTGTGACAGAAAACACACATGGACTATTAACAGCCGTTAACAGGCTTACTTGGATGGTATAATTACACAAATAGTCCATATTATTTATATATTCTTTCAATTTGATCATAGTTTTAATAAATTAAAATAAATTTACATACGAAACAGGAGCTGTCATGTGTCATTGGCTACACACCTGTCATTACACATGTTATCATTTGATTGGAAGAATAAATTTATTTTAATTTATTTTTAATTTAATATATTTATTTTTACCAATCATAGGGTGACACGTATCACCCTCTGGTTGGAAGAAAAATGTGTTACCCTCTGGTTGGAAGAAAATAAAGCAACATAGAAGCAAGTGAGGGATTCGAACATTGAACTCTTAGTGAAATATTGCAAGCTAAACCATTGAGCCAAGACAACCATTTGATATATTTTAGACAACAAATGATATATATCCTGTCTCTTAGTATACAAATGCTTTACTCAAAATTAATAATATGTTATATATCTTAAATTTTAAAATTATTTCTTTATGGTTGATATATATTTATATAAAAATAAAACCATTTAAAATGTCGTTAATGTGTAAGTAATTTTACTAGGGTTTTGCCTTTTTGTCCTCTGCCGCGTGGTAGCTTTGGGATTTTTTCCCTTCTAGGTTTTTTTGCTTCTGGTTTGATTTGTGGGCTGTTGTTTTGGGTGTTGATTCATTGTTTCATAATGGAAGACGTTGAGCAACAATTTGATGCATTACAGTTGGGGGAAGAGGAGGATGAAGCGTTGCCTCCGAACGCCTCTGAAAAGGAAGTTGGGTTATCGTTTGAGAATTGTTTTGTTGGTTTTTTCATACGTCTAGCATGATCAATTTCCATGTTATGCGTACTACGCTAGCTAATGTATGGCACCCATTGGGGGTATTTTTATATCGGATTTAGGGGAGGGGAAGTTCCTTTTCCGTATATCACGTCGGTGACGTAGACCGTATTGAGATGGAAGGGCCTTGGTATTTTAATGCCCATTTATTTGTTCTGCATATATTGAATGAGGAGAGGATCCAATGCTTGTTCCTCTGCAAACTGTTGATTTTTGGGTCCATATTAAAGAGTTACCAGCATGTTATATTTCTAAGGTTGTGGCTCGTCAGTTGGGAAACTTCAACATTATTTTCCTTTCATATGATGCATCGGCTGTTTCGATGGGTTATAGGGGTTGTATTCGGGTTTGGGTTTGGGTTCCGATTGATATCCACTATCCGCTTAAACGTAAGAAGAAATTAACACTACCGAATGGTAAGCATGTGTATGCACAATTTCAGTATGAGAAATTACGTCTTTTTTGTTTTCTATGTGGCAAGCTGGGCGACGGTGAGGGCTTTTTCCCTTTGCGGATATTAAAAAAAGAAGAAAGAGGTTGTTTTTCAGTGGGATGTGTCTCTCCGGCTCCTCCAAGACAAAGGGGGATTCCTACAAGCTCTTGGCTACGTGACGAGGGGGAACCAATCAGGAAGGAATGCACTGAAAGGGCAAGGGTTGTGCGGGTTCATCGACGAGGTCCTATGAGAGATGATAGGGGCTATGGTTTATATGAATTGGCACTTTATGAGTGTCCCTCATAATGAGGAACGCGTTAATATAGCGGCTCAGCAAATAGTTGATGATGTTGTTATGACAGAAGTAGAGGAAAATTGTCCCATAGAAAAGTTGGATAACTCTAAACGTCAGTGCCATTCTCCTAAGCATGGGGTGAGTTATGGTAACCATAATTTAGAAAGAGAAAACAATATTCCATCGGCATGCCTGCACACTCAGGCCAGCCGATTGCAATGAAGATCTTTAACTAAAAATTATGAGGTTTGGGGAAGCCTCGAACAGTGAAGCATCTTTTCCATACGTTGCAAAACGTTAACCCGTATGTAGATTTCTTGATTGAAACTACAAGATACAAGTATGGAAAGAGTTCGTCGGTTATGCAGATATTTGAATGGTATTAATGTTAGCTCGTGTGGTAGTTGTGTATGGCATGGCGCAGTGATTGTAATGTCCAGTTACGATCGTTCTCTAGCATGCATATTGATGTTTGATTTATGATAAGGATGATGGTTCTACTTGGTGATGCACTACTTTTATAGGGCGCCTGAGGAGCAACACATATATCTTTCATGGAATATGTTGAGGCAGTTGGCTGATGATCAGTCATCCTGTGGCTGCTGGTTGGAGATTTTAATGAAATTTTATTTTCTACTGAAAAGAAAAGGGGTTTGGTTCGTAGTGAGAGGCATATGGATGCTTTTTGGACTGTATTTTTTGATTGTGGATTGGAGGATATTAGTTATAGTGGGGTATGATACACTTTGAAGAGTGGTCAGAAGGTTGAAACCAATATTCGAGAGCGCCTGGATCGAGCTGTGGCCAATTCAAGATGGTGGAAGACTTTTCTTAATTTCTCTCTCATGCCCTTAACACATTCCATGTCTGATCACTGCACTTTATTACTGAACACATCTTTGATGACCAAATTAGGGCGGCAGTGTCATTTTAAGCTTGAGGCTTCTTGGCTCCTTGAAGAGTAGTGCGAACCTGAAGTTCGTAAGTTATGGTCTGACTCGAAAGGTCATTACTGTACATGTTAGATCATGTCAGGAATGACCTTGATAAATGGTTCAAACATATCTGCAAAGACAAGCGGCTCACTGAAGCAAATTTGAAGAAACGACTAACGAACCTTATAGAGCTATCTTCTACTACTGAGGTACTTTATGAAATGATGGAGGTTCAACTTAATTTAATTTGAAAATAGATAAATCTGAATGGTATTGGGAACAGAGAGATCGAGCTAATTGGCTCCGTAACAGAGACAATAATATTGCGTTTTGATAGATTTACGACATAGAGGAGGCGTAGAAATCGGATTCAGATACTGAAAAATGAAGCTAGTAACCGTTATGAAGAGGAGAATGATATTGAAGCTTTGGCACGGGAGCATTTTCGCTCTTTGTTTCTGTCTGATGGAAATTCTATTGATAGTTTCATTTTGAATGAGATATCTCAGTCAGTCACCCCTGAGTTGAATATTGGCCTTACAACTGATTTCACATATGAGGAAGTTACACGTGCGGTTAAGGATATGGGCTCCCTTAAAGTGGCAGTCCTTAATGGGCTTAGGGTGGTGTTCTATCAGCGCTTTTGGTATATCATCTCTGGTGTCTATAGTTTTGAGGATGTAAACATGACCCATATTGTTTTAATCCCTATGGTTCAACCTCCTTCGAGATTAACACATATCAACCAATCAGTCTTTACAATGTTTTATTTAAAATTGTTTCTAAGATGTTGGTTAATAGAATGAGGAGCCTTTTAACTCTTTGTATTGATAAATCACATAGTGTTTTTGCGTCGGGCTGGTAGATTACTGACAATATTATTACTGCTTACGAGATACTATATTCTTTTTTAATATCCGATGTGGGAAGAAAAGGGTATTTTGCACTTAAACTAGACATGAGCAAGGCCTATGATCGGGTGGAATAACTGTGTTTATGGGTAGTCATATCAAAGATGGGCTTCTCGCAGGAATGCATTTCATTATTACTAAGATTTGTTTGTTATTTTTCCTATTCGATCATCATTAATGGATTCCCAGGTGAGGTATTCTTTCCCTAGAGAGAAATCTGAAAAGGGGATCCCTTGAGCCCATATTTGTTTCTTATATGCAGCGAGGGGTTATCATCTCTAATTCGACAGTTAGATACTATGGGGAGAATTCAGAGAGTTCGAATTAATCAGTAAGCCCCTTTAATTACCCATCTTATGTTTACGGATAATTGCCTCATTTTTGGCGAAGCTAATGAGGTCAATGCAAGTGCTATAAAGGATATTCTCAGCATCTATGGGGATAGTTCTGGACAATTGATTAATTTTGATAAATCAAGGCTGTTTTTTAGCTCCAATGTTGTTGATTCAAATCGGGCTGATGTGCGTATGATCTTGGGGGTATCTAGTTCTTTCAATCCCAAGAAGTATTTGGGGCTTCCTTCTTTAGTTGAAATAAGTAAAAGAAAGGCTTTCATCTATTTTAAGGAACAAATTATGGCCAGAATCAACTCATAGAGTATTCGATGTCTTTTCTAGGGTACTAAGGAAGCCTTTATTAAATCTATTTTGCAATCCCTCCCCCTCTTTGCAACGACATCATTTCTTCTCCCGAAAAGTTTGTGTAGTGAGATGAAAGGTTTGCTAGCCCATTTTTGGTAGCAAAAATTGATTAATAAGAGCGATGTTCATTGGTGTGCGTGGAAAGACCTATGTGGGTTTAAAGAGTTGGGAGGCTTGGGTTTTAGGACCTAGCGAAAATTAATATTGCCTTGTTAGCAAAGCAAGGCTGGTGACTGTTGACGACACATGTCTCTCTGGTTGGTAGGGTGTTACGAGCTAAATATTTCTCTGGTTTTGATTTTCTTCAGGCTCAGCTTGGATACAATCCGTCCTATGTATGGCGTAACATCTGGAGTGCTCGTGGTCTTCTTGATATGGGCATGCAATGGAGAGTTGGCTCGGGGTGTGCCATCTCCATCTGGAATGATTTCTGGTTGCCGGTGACCCCCACTTATGATTACTCGCCCAAGAGTTGGTACGGTTGAGTGGCTTTCTGAGTTAAGACATCCAAACAATAATGAGTGGAATGAACAGTTGGTGCGATAGCTCTTTACAGCCATTGAGGTTGATCAGATTCTTTCGATACCTCTCCCCTCGAACGAGATGGCTGACTGCAAGGTGTGGAGTGGGGAACAAATCAGGATGTATAATGTCCGAAGTGGGTATCGCCTGTTTCTTGATGATGGCACTATTCTTGTC